TGTAGCCAAGATTCTTGTCGCTGGAACAAATCTGCCGCCAAGATCTTGTCATTTTAGGGAAAGGTCTGATTTAGTTTGCAGGAAGTACCAGGTTCATGTCTAGCACCTTGAGTGGGAATGCCTCAGCTTAAAACCATGAACAACAGCTGCCAGTCAGAGTAGACAGTGCTAGGTTGGATGAACCAGTAGTTTGTTTTAGGAAGGCACTGCTTTACCTTTTAGTAAGTCCCACAGTGAATGGAGGCTATTCACCTATTAACCCTTGCCATCCAGCTTGGGTCAGCCATGTCCAGAGACTGAAGCCTCTAAATGAGGTAGATTTCATGGACCAAGTTTTCTAGCTGAACTGGTTAACCTACGTGATTTGGATTTTTTCTTGGCTCAGTCTCTCCGTGGCTTGGAATGGCTCCTAATATGTGGTGGAATGTTTACCGTACACATTGAAGTGATGTGAGTGCCTATGGTGTCTTTTTGTTATATGTAATGTTATTTACTGTCAAGTCAGAACCGACTTACAGTGACCCTAATAGGGCTTTCAAAGTAAGTGAGATATTTATGGAGTGGCTTTATGAGTTTCCATGCCTGAGTGTGGATTTGAAGCCGGGCCTTTTAGTCCATCACTCTGTCTACTACACCACACTGGATATTCTATTCCTGGTGGCAAGTCTGAGTTTATTTCTGCGTAATGTTTGAAAGAAGCTCTAGTGTAATTGGTGTGTGTCCCCCTCTACTTTTATTTGGATTAATCAGCACTTAATGCAAGCTCTTTGACCCTTTTTGTTTGGCTGTTACTTGTATTTGAAGGGCCTGTGAAATCACTGGCATTGGAAGCTGCTCTCCTCACAATTCTTGACCTTGACTTCAATCAGTGCTGTGCAAATGATTCTGTGAACTGAGCAGTTGCTTTATTGACAGTGAGCCTGGGCAGGCTTTCCCCAACCTGATGATGGGGAAGGGTTTGATCTGATGCATCTGGCAAAGCTGAGGAGTTGTGGGAGGCTGTTCTAGCTCTTTCTGCACAGAGCAGGCATGGAAGCAAGCCCAGCTTTGTCTCCAGACTTCCATGTGCCATTAAGCTACAGCCACTTCTGCTTTCTTGGTCAGTTGACTTGTTTGATGCATGTGTTTCTGAACATGAGCTTCTTTCATTTCTTTGTTTCATGGTGGGCGATAAGATGCGGTGAGGCAGGAGTTGCCATCTTCTGTGTGAGGTGGCTCAAATCTGAATCACAGAATCATGGAGTTTGAGGGGGCCTATAAAACCATTGATTCCAACCACCTGCTCATTGTGGGAATCCAAATAAAAGTCTATCTGACAGATGATTGCCTAATTCTCTCTTGAATGCTTCTGGTGTTGGAGTGTTCACCGCCTCCTGAGGTAATTGCTTCCTTTGTCATACTGCTCTAACAGTTAAGAGGTTTTTTCTTATACTCAGCCACAATCTGGCTTCCTGTAACTGGACATGTGCTGCACTTTTGAGTTGATGGGAGAACAGATCCTGTGCCTTCTGTAACTTAAGTCACTTTTAGTACTGTTGTAACTTGTGCTTCGCAGAACAGCCTAGATGTGATCTTTGGTATGTTCAGCTAGGACTGGCCATATCCGTAACTAGCAAAGACAGCCAGCCAGTGGCCCTCCAGGTATGCTGTATCATAGATTCCACCAGCCCCAGATAGCCTAGCTATTGATGACAGCTTTGGGGAATTACAACCCAAAGCAACTGGATAGTACTATTTTGTCCTTTATATGCTGGGCTGAGTGGCCAAAAGCTTAGTAGGAAATTGGCTTGGTATGGCGTTGTTTCCTATGTTCAGGTTACTGGTAAAAACGCAGATATTCTATTATTGGTCTTATCTCTTGATTCCGTCATTTTGGAATTTCATCAGGAATAGCAAATGTGAGAATATTCTAAATAGATCATTTATTATTTATTTGTATTTTAGATTTGTATTCCATCCCTATAGGGCAGAGCATTATTTACAGTAAATAAAATACTGCAACAAAGAAATTACAATAAAACTAATCAACAGGAAAAAATCAGAAGCAAGAAGAGATATGACTCCAAATAGATTATGTGCGTATTCTACTAACAGTTATTTTAAATTGGGGGGGGGGGAAATCTCTGTCCACTAGGTGCATTTCTTCAGAAAGAATTTGTTCGGTTGGGTGAGAAATTGATTTTTGAGCAGTCTATGTTGTATATTATTATTTTTATTTTCATTTTAAAATGTAAGTTTACCAAGTTTCAGAAATATACTATGAGAATAAATGCCGATTCCCAGACTTTGAGTTCTGCTCTGATAAGCATATCAAATAACCTGGGATTTCCTGCTTGTGGGTTAACTAGAGGCGTCTGGTTGGGCAGTATAAGAAATAGGATGCTAGACTAGATAAACTTTAGGTCTAATCCAGCACAACACTCCCTAAGCCTGCCTCGGTTTTCATGTCTAAAATGGCTGCTGCTGTGTGACTCGAATCACTAGTATCTCAAGTTACAGGATCTCAGCATAAATGTGGCCTGTTTGTTTAAACACAAATAGCTCCGGTGTGGTGACTCTAGGGGAATTGGGGCGGGAATTTAAGCCCCCTACCCATGAAAATCCTTCATGCTTTTGTTTACATTGGGAGCAAAGCTTCCCTGTTGGGAATGTAGGAGGGCTGACCGTGAGCATCTCATGCGTGCAGTAATGCAACAGAATGTAAAGCTCTCCCAGTCCTGCTGACACTCCACAGTGGCCAGTCTTGCTTTGTTTTTCTTCCCTTGTCCCTTTTGCATTTTTCTTTCTTTTCTTTGTGATGAGCACTAAAAGGGAAAGTAAAGTTAGCATTGCTGTTTAGTTTGAACCCAAGACTACTCGCTGTATTTTAGTTTTCTGGTTTGCTTCCAGACCTTCTCCAGGTTCCTTCTTTATGCAAAAAAAGAGAGAGGTTTCTGTCCTTCCTTATTCATAAACCTTCCTCAAGTGAGGCTTGTGGGCCTGCTGGGATCAATGGGTGAAAAAGGGAGGGTTGGAATTAGGGAGACCCACCTTGGTCTGCTTTACTGGGGTGCTGCTTTCCTTGTTCTGTGAGTATTTTGACACATGAAGATGGCTGGTTTTCAAAAAAAAGCAGCCACGTTATTTTGTGCAAGCATGATTGAAATTATTCTCAGCCTAATAGTTTTATTCCATTACTAACAAATCATTGTCCCTTTGTCCATCATCCTCACCAGGTCAGGGGGCTATGTATAAATATCATCATCTTAAAACTGCAGAGCTGAGAGGGACCCTATGGATCATCCGGTCCAGCCCCTGTCAAGGAGGCCCAGTGGGGAATCTGCAGCCAAAGACCTCAACCACTGATTAGATAATCCTGTTGTCTTACTCTAATGTCTGTGGAGATACATTCAGTCCATGAAAGTTCACATTGGAATAAGGCAACCTGCCATTAAGGTGGCACAGTGTTTTTGTCTCCTGTTTGTTATTACAGTCAACCCTCAACTTACGAACGTCCCTACACACAAACTTTTCAATTTACGAAGGCTCCGTTCACAAAAATTGGCATCGACTTGCGAATGGAGCCTTGACCTACAAACGAGGTCGAGGCTCCGTTCACAAGTCCATGCCATTTTTTTGCGAATGGAGCCGTTTGGTCGCCTTCGGAGGTCTCAAATGGTTCCTCCCCCGACACTGGAGGAAGCCGTTCGAGACCTCTGAAGGTAATTTTTTGAAATGCTGGAACGGATTAATTCCGTTCCCATGCATCTCAATGGAAATGAATACTTCGATTTACGAACCTTTCGACATACGAATGCCGTTCCAAAACGGATTAAGTTCATAAGTTGAGGTACCACTGTATGCTTTTTGTTTCAGTCTCCTATTAGCCTGGCCGGTTTGTAGCCTGAATCACATGGTTGACCCCTTTTTTGTCCCTTTAAGGCAGGAAGGCTGTATGTTTACAATTGCATTGCTATATTAAGCTTCTGTTGTTGTTGTTTAAATACTAGTATGAACTGTTTGGTGCCCCAGTTGTGTTGAGCAGAAAGTCAGGCTATTTTAATGCCAGCATTTTCATATTTAAAAATATATATATAGACTTAAGTGTTTTGCGGGGGGAGTCACTGCTGTCTCTCTGCTCATGTCCAGCTTTTGTTCAGTTAAGGCATAAACCTAGATACTGCATTTGCACAACCTGGTTTTAAAGTACCTCATCACTCTTAACAGCTGCCATCTATTCACTTTGTCACTTACCACTCTTTCCAAAGATTTGATTGTCTTTTTTGTTCTCTGTCTTGAAAATGTTCTATTGACAGACCAGTTATAAATTTTGTTACTACAGTACTACTACTACTACTACTACCATTCTTCTGTAAATTAATCAAGATCCAACTTGGGGGCGGGGGAAGCTCAGGAGGTAAAAAACCTTCCTCACAGCTTGATGAGCTGTTTTTTGTTTTTGGAGACAATTTTTGGAGAGAAGGGAGCGGGCTGTCAGGATGCTCTCACTCTCCGTAATCAGGCCTGCTGTAAATCCCATGGAACCAGCAGGGCCATAAATCTAAATAAATGATGGCAAATTCCTGGCAAGGCAGGAGGAGGCTGTGCTTCAAACGGGGGTCTAGCTTGATCCCTTTCCATGTGGCTACACATGTTTTACATCCCATTAGTCATTCATTGCACTGTTTCAGTTGAGTTGTTAGACTGAAGGAGTTCACTGATTATCCAACATTACTACAGGCTTTTGTTAACTAATTCTCCTCCCTTGGGACAATCGTAATTGTGTATCAAGCTGGATACATAAGCCAGTTAAAAATGGATTTTTGCTGCACTCCGTGCTCATAGCAGTGTTTCGATTAAAAATGTAATCAGCCTTCAGCTAATATGATAAAATTGGTGGAAAGAAGTGCTGTGAGAGTAAGTGATGGAAATACTTCAGCTGTACTGTATTCAAAAAGTCTCTCCCCTCTCCCTTTCTGGCTTGTATCTTGATGTGTATGTGTTCTACTTTTATCTTGCAGGACCTGCGCAAACAGGTAGCTCCACTACTAAAGAGTTTCCAGGGAGAGGTGAGTCTTTCTGCATTTTATTCTGATTTTAAAGGTAATGTATGCCACTTTTAAGTAGAGTTCTTTGAACATTGGAATTCTCTCCCTTAAAAGAATCCGTCTGTTGGAATTACATGTAGTATTTTACCTTGTGTATGAACGTATTTTCATTTTGTACCTGTTGAAAGAGCAGTCTGAAATACTAGGGAGACATTACATTAATGATCCCTGTTGTGTTTCTCCTTGGGATACCCTGCCGCTCTCCCCAGGTCCCCCAGGCGTCCTCTTCTCTGTCCTTCTCCAATTTTGAATGGGCAGCCCTGTAATCTTTCAAGGTGAGATGAAAACCTTAGGAGCCCCCATGTGTTTCTGGGACCTGGGGGAGAAACAAGTAGAACCTGAGGGAGGGAGAAAATATCTAGAGGGAGAAAGCAGAAAGGCAGGACTCCTAGGATTTTTTTTTACTAGCCTGATGCAACAGCCTTTCCAAATGTCCAGCATGCCTTCCCAGGCTCTATAAGGCTGGTGTGCCAGTCCTAGATATCGGCTGGAAACCAAATATCGGTGGCTTGGCTCTGGCCTGGTTCCGTTCCTTCTTGGAGGACTGCCCCCAGAGAGTGCAGCTTGGGGAGAGTATTTCGGCCCCGTGGAGTCTCAAATGTGGGGTTCCACAGGAGTCGACTATTTCCCCAGTGCTGTTTAACATCTATATGAGGCCGCTGGGTGGAGTCATCAGGGGGTGTGGAGCATCGTGTCATCAATATGCTGATGACACCCAGCTCTACATCTCCTTTCAACCAACTGCAGGTGATGCTGTCCTGTCCCTCCAGCGCTGCCTGGGCGCTGTACTGCAATGGATGCAGGAGAACGGGCTGAGGCTGAACCCAGACAAGACGGAAGTTCTGAGGGTGGGTGGCCCTGTGGATGGTGGCTTCAGAAACTCCCTCATGTCGCCTAGAGTGGTCCGTCGATCAGATAGGCGGGATATAAATGAAATAAATAAATAAAATAAATTTGGGGGGGTGGCCCTGGCCACGAAGAGTGGGGTCCGCAGCCTAGGGGTACACCTGGACCCGATGCTCACCATGGAAACGCAGGTGGCGTCGGTAGTCCGCA